ACAAGGTGGAACAATTGCTAAATATGCCATTATGCTTTGAACAAGAATTAAAGATGAAAACAATTTGTAATAAGAAAAAATTATAGCTCAGATATTCAAAGATTGTTGATATGAGTGGATTCCACATATGCAATGTTAAGTGTCTGCAAATAGAATATAAAAAATTGTATTAAATAATTTATAATCATTTATTTATGCTTCTAGTTCTAGCTCGGTAGGTAGCTTATGAATACTGAAAATGAAGACAATTATATATAATTCGATGAGATTTACAAGATTTTTATGATACCTATAATGTTTTATATGGTATTATTGTCAACTTATTATTTAGTTGCTTTAAATTTTAAATATTTAAAAAACAGTAAAATATTGTTATATGATTACTTTAGAGCCATTAATTTTCTTAAATGGAGAGCCCAATTTAATAAGTATTTTAGCAATATTTCTCATATTTTGGTTTGGGGATTCTTATTGATTCTATTTTGAAGGATATGGTCTTGAAGTTTGTTACAAATCATGATATGAATGGACGATTATAGACTTAGATGATGATCAACCATACTGCTACTTTCATCATTTAGCTATTAGAACTTATTTTCAACCTTATATGTATTAGCAAGTAGACATGTGTAGTTGCACAACAATTACAGCTTCGACGCCTTCGAGCCAGCATGGTAAAGTTAATTTTGTTAGGTATATGCAAGCATAGCTGAGCTAAACTGGTGGATCTGGACTTGGATCATTATTAGATGTTTCTGGAATAGATGAATATTTATATGTTTCGTTAGTTAAATGTTAAGGAAATATTTGAGATATTTTACAATGTCGTGAAGGTATATGATCAAGTTTCTATCTATACTTTTCACCATGGTTGTGACTATTAACAGTACAGCGCTTTCGACACGTCATAGCTTCGATCCGCCTTTCAGACAAAGCAGGCGTTTGATCGACGTTTCATAGGATTGCTTAGGAATACCTGCTTTTACTGTAAAGCGGATGTTTACAAGAATTGGTGCAGGTAACGAAGAAGCGAATGCAAGATCGATCGGATGGCTGGATTGAAGATAAATTTGAAGAGTTGGAATTAGTAGATAGATATAAAAATTAAACAATATTCTTCAAATTTATTTTTATTTCTTATCTACTAAATTGTATTAATGGAATTATTAAAACAGTTACAAATGATAGTTATATAGAGTGAGTATGATTGCAACCTAAATTGAGATGTTATATAATTATCTATGATGCGAAGAATTCCCTAAATAAATTTTCTATACATTATAAAGGATTTACTGTATTAATAAATAATTTTATTCTTATCATTCTTTTTTTTTGTATTTAAATTTCATGTCATTCAGTATTAATATTAATTATTATTTGTTTTTAGATATCTTTACTGTAATTTTTATATATTTATAAATTTAAAAAGATTTTTAAAAAAATAAAAAATTTTTAAAAAAAGAGCAGCCCAGGCCCGGCCCATTAGGGCCCAGGCAGGTTGCCAGAAGCAACCGGGCCCAGGCTCTGACTTTTCCCGACGAGCGACGATCTCCAAGCCCGACCCGAATATGACGGTATCGGGGCCCGGTTTTCCAGACGCCCGGGTGGACAGCCATGGGTCATTCCACTACTTTAATATGAAAAGAGTCTTCATTTGCTTACCACTCTAATAGTGCTATTCAATGAGATTGACACACGCAACTTACCTTTCATTGAGTGTTAAAAAGGACAAAACCTTAATTTAAACAAGAAATAACCAAGTCAATTAAACAAGACAAATCATGTTACATATAAATAACTAAACGACTCAATACTGTAAACCACAATGGACATTCACATACAAAACGATCGGTCTTTAATTTCTCTGACTTCGTGGTTCGTTTAGCAAAAACAGTACACCCTCAAAAAGTCGTCGTATCGCCGAGCTTAATGTGAGAGGCACACGGTTTTTTAGTGAAAAGGCGAAAGAATAGTTCGCTATGTGACACTCACCACGCAGATGCGTGACCTTGATCAAGAGCCAGACCCAATTTATTTAATACGTCGAAACTTCGTCAAGTCTCGAAGCGAATTGTCCGACGCTGGGGACTAAACTGAAAGCAACAATGATCGAGGCGAAAACTCGGAAATACTTTCTCCTGCCCCCATTCTTCCACCGCTGCCCTGTCTTCATTCTCGTTTTCACCTAGTGCCGAGATTTTATCACCTTCTCATTTATGAAAATGTTTTGTAGATTGCTCACTAGGTGGGAGACACAGGAATCCACTCTAATCCTTCTTAATCTCAAACTCAGAAGCTTATAAATTACTAGTTACACGGACTGACATTAACTAATTGCAAAAATGAGATTCCTTACTAGTCATCAGTAGGAGTTAAGTTATTACCATAAGAAACTTTACAAATGTAAAGCCTTATAATTCTGTTCTTACTAGGCAGTACTTGGGTAGTTGACCAACACTATAATGTATATCGCTAACATTCTATCAAAGAACAATGTTAGCGCGAAAACAATGGAACGAAAGGTATCAAAATGAAATGACAACAGGAAGCCTCGGAATCAAAGCCAATGTATATATATATTTTTTAGAGATATCAAGTTAGGGGCTAAAGAAACTTATGTGGGATAGTCTCTATCTGTTCTCATCTAAGGAGTTAGTAATTTCCAAGAGCAAGTCATCTTCAATAGCTTTCGTTTTATTGGGATTAATTAAATTGTACAGAATGATGAAAATCAAGTCCCAATGTTCATGAATAGATATGTGAAGTTAACTCCTACACACCCTCTCTTTCTTTCTCTTTCTATCTCAGTCTCACTCTCTCTCATAGTCTTCGATCCTCCTCAAAGGTAAACTTCTAATTTTTTAAGTTTTAAACTACTTAATTAATTTATTTACTATTTTAGCACTTATAAACTATTTTTAATCTTTAAATAGTTAATTTATTCAATTTAGTTTAATTAAGTACTTTAAGTTAATTTTAATTTAATTCTGTTCATTTTTAGTTAATTTAGTTGATTTTATTTTAATCTTGTTCAAATAGAATTAAATTTAGTGAACTTTAGTTAATTTTAGTAAATTTAGTTAATTTTAGTTAATTTTAGTTTAATCTTGTACAAATTCAGTTAATTTTAGTGAATTTTATTTAATTTAGTTAATTTTAGTGAATGTAGTTAATTTTAGTTTAATCTTGTTCAATTTTAATGAATTTTAGTGAATATACTAATATAGTGAAGAATTGAATGCGCAATTGCATCAGTGATGACTGGTTGAATGATTATTTAGTCACTTATATTAAGAGAGGTATATTTGATAACATTGACAATAAGGAAATCATTCAATATTATCAAAACATGAGAACACGAAGGGAACAATTGTAAACAATTTTAACAAAATACTTCTATTGACTATTTTTGTTCGTGTACATATATGTCTGCTTTGTTTTGATATTGTTAACACTTAGCTAAAGTATCATATACTAGTAGTGATGTTGCCCCCACCGACAAAAATTTCTGAATTTGTTAACACTTAGCTAAAGTATCATATACTAGTAGTGATGTTGCCCCCACCGACAAAAATTTCTGAATTCGCCTGTGGATATGATGCTTACCATATCCATTTTCGCTTACTCATTTCGGATACGGATACAGATACTGATATACATGCAGATATATAAACGGATATGCATGTGGATATAAATTAAACGGATACGAGAAACCTAGATATTGTTGAAAAAAATATAGTTCATGTTATACAAAAGAGTTCATTAATTTGTTCATTATATCTAAAAAATATAGTTCATGTGATACAAAAGAGTTCATTAATTTGTTCATTATATCTAAAAAACTAAGATTAGATATCTTAATTGTCAAAATTAACCTCATATCCATAATCTAAAAGACTAAAACCATTATAACAATATGACTAATATGCATTCGGATATTTCGGATACGGTTCCGGATATTTCACTACAAAACCATATCCGTAGCCATATCCTATCGGTTGTAAATTTGAGTAACCATATCCGTATCCTAACGGATATGGTTACAGATATTTTTTCGGATACGGATACGGTTTGCCACCCCTATCTATAAGGATGAACTTCACATATCTATCCTGAACATTGGGATGATTTTCATCATTCGTAAATTTAACTTAATCCCAAAAAAGAAAATCTTATTGAGAAAGTATGACTTGCTCTTGAAATTTAACTCTAGCCGAACAGATAGACATCCCACATGAAAAGTTTTTTAGCCCCTAACTTTGATATCCAAAAAAAATATATATATACACTTTGATGTCCCGAGCTCCAGTTTCATTTCACTTTGATACCTTCGTCCATGTTTCGTAACATTTCTTAATAGAATTGTAGCATTCTATGTGTTGGTCAACTACCCAAGTACTCTAGTAAGAAACGGAATTATAAGGTTTACTTTGTAACTTCTTTATGGAATTAACTTAACTCCTAATGAGATATATATAAGAATCTATTTCCAAAATAGTTAATGTCAGCCGTGAACTAGAATTAAACTTTGGATGGAATTAAAAGGATTAGAGTGATTACTGTTCTCACGCTATTAGGGCATCTCCAACCCATCGCACCAAAATGGTGCAAAAGTCACATCTAACAGTAATTCATCTCCAACCCACTACACCATTTTTTGCACCAAAAAGGAATATTCTCAGTATCTTTCTTTTTATCTACTTTTATATTATTATTTTTTATTCCCTATATTTTTAACTATTTCAACAATTAACCCCACATATCAAATTTTATTTTTTCACATATTTTCCAAACAAAATGATTTATTATTTAAAAAATTAAACTAATAAAACAATAAAATATTATTTTATTAATTAATTAAAATAACTTGATTGCTAAAATATTATATTTTTATTATTGATATTGCCAAAATATTACATTCAAGAACACAACAGAAAATAAAATACAAGAAAATAATTAAACATTAACAACAATATAAAAATTACAAATTTAGTATGCACTTAACTATCTGAATTAGTGTATTCCTCCCATAGATGATCTATCAATGCATTACGAAGCGCAATATGGGCATCTTTATCCTTTATTTTTCCATAACGTGTAATAAATTGAGTAAATTTTATAGTTTCATCTTCTACCATATCAACTTCTGGTGTTGGTGCTTCCCTCACTTCTTGAATTGGTGCATAAAGGTCACGTTCATCCTCGGTTATCATATTATGCATAATAATACATGCAGTCATTATGTCATGTAATACATGATTTTTCCAAAAACGTGTTGATCCTACCACAATTGCAAATCATGATTGGAGAACTCCGAACGCACGTTCTACATCTTTTCTACATGCTTCCTGTTTCACGGCAAAATATTTTTTTTCTACCTTGTGGCTGTTGGATTGTTTGTACAATAGTAGCCCATTTTGGATATATACCATCAGCTAAATAATAACCCATATTATACTCTTTTCCTTGAATAACATAGTGAGCGGGAGGAGCAATACCTTGAGCTAGGTTAGAGAAAAGATTAGATGATTCCAGCACATTGATATCATTATTGGTGCCTGGCATACCAAAATATGCGTGCCATATCCAAAGATCATAATCTGCCACAGCTTCGAGGATAATAGTTAGTGACCCACTACGTCCTGTGTATTGCCCAGACCATGCTGTTGGACAATTTTTCTATTTCCAATGCATACAATCAAGACTTCCTAACATTCCTGGAAAACCACGTTTTTTACCAATATAGAGTAGCCTAGCAATATCGTTAGCATTAGGTGTTCGTAGATACCGCTCTGCGAATATCTCCACCATAGCACGACAAAATCTTTTCCTACTTTCAATTGCTATTGACTCACCTATTTTAACGTATTCGTCCGTAGCATCAGCTGGTAGACCGTATGCCAACATGCGAAAAACAGCTGTTACTTTTTGTAACGGTAATAATCCCATTCTACCAAGTCCATCACTTCGTTGTTGGAAGTAATGGTCATGATCTTTCACTGCATCAACAATACGAATGAACAAACTTCTTGACATCCGATATCGACGACGAAACATATCTTGTCCAAAACGTGGATTATCGACAAAGTAATATATGACTAAATTCTGATACGCAGTTTCTCGATCGCGGTTGATCACTACATGACCGGGAATCGAGCCACCATGGATCGGTTGGTAGTTTTGTTGACGTAAATTGTTAGCGATGATCATGTTGTTGTTGATGTACTCACAAATTACTTCTTCAGTTTCATCAATCTCTGCAATGATATTGGTCAGAAAATTATCATCATCCGAAGATGAAGATGATGATAAATATGATGGACCTCCAACATCGAAATTAATTCAAGGAGAGCTGAGCTGTGTATATGTTGGACAATGTGTAAAGCTGACCTGATTTCAAAAATTGATTCACACTCGTATAAAGCTTTCACACAATTCAAAGAAAGCTGAGCTGTGTATACGTTGGACAATGTGTAAAGCTGACCTGATTTCAAAAATTGATTCCCACTCGTACAAAGCTTTCACACAATTCAAGGAAAGCTGAGCTGTGTATACGTTGGACAATGTGTAAAGCTGATCAGTTTTTAAAAAAATGATTCCCACTCGTACAAAGCTTTCACACAATTCAAAGAAAGCTGAGCTGTGTATACGTTGGACAATGTGTAAAGCTGATCAGTTTTCAAAATTCTGATTCCCACTCGTACAAAGCTTTCACACAATTCAAAGAAAGCTGAGCTGTGTATACGTTTGACAATGTGTAAAGCTGATCAGTTTTCAAAAAATGATTCCCACTCGTACAAGCTTTTACAGAATTCAAGGAAAGCTGAGCTGTGTATACGTTGGACAATGTGTAAAGCTGATCAGTTTTCAAAAAATGATTCCCACTCGTACAAAACTTTTACACAATTCAAGGAAAGCTGAGCTGTGTATACGTTGGACAATGTGTAAAGCTGATCAGTTTTTAAAAAATGATTCCCACCGATAACGTTGGACAATATGTAAAGCTGATCAGTTTGTCCACAACGATTCAATTTCAAATGTTGACCACCGACAAATTCAAATTCAAACAAAAAAAAACAAATTTGGATTGGCTATAAATAACATTCACGGTTTCTACTTCAAGCCACCCAATTCGAAGTATTTCTTCAAAGTATTTCTAATCTCCAAACCAACCGTTTTTTACAAAAAAAATGTCTGTTCGATCATCTGGATACACTATTACTGAAGATGCAGTGCTCCTTTGTCAAGTATTCTTGGATATTTCTCAAGACCCTATTATCGGTAGAAACCAGTCTCGAGATGCATTTTGGTCTCGTGTGGAGGACAGATACAATGAACTTCGAGACCAAAATTCTGATGTGCGTACGAGCCGATCAATTCGTTCTCGAATGGAAATCATAAGTAATGAAGTAAGGAAATTGAATGCGTGCTTGAGACAAGTAGAGAATCTGAATCCAAGTGGTGCTTCAGATGAAGATATTGTAAGTATTCTATTAATTATCGTCTGAATTTTATTATTATTGTTGAAATACATAACTTGATGTTCACTATAATTTGCAGTTAGTTCGAGCAAAGATGTTATTTATGCAAGAACCAAAGTACAAAAAAGGTTTCAAATTTGATCATGTCTGGAATATGGTTAAAAATTTCAAAAAATTCAAAGATGATGTCCCCACAGCAAGACAAGTTGGTCGAAGACAACCCCAAAGTGTGAACTTCGACTCGTCACAATCAGATAATCCCACTCCGGAATCTCCTATATCAACATCTCCTGGGCTGTCATCGTTTACTCCATCTGAACGACCTATTGGGGTAAAAAAAAAGCCAAATTGAAAAGAAAAAATGATGATCATGAGTCAAGCGTAGTGAATCCATCGAGACCTCCAACAACCGACTTATAGACAGGTTAGACAAGGCGAGCTTGGACAGGCATGTAGCATTTGATATCGAACGAGAAAAGATAGCTATGAAAAAAGATAGAGATGAATGGAAAATTATAATGAAAGATTTGAATTCCATTGCTGATCCAAACGTACGGGAGTACATTCGAGCTCAACAGATTAAAATAATACAAAAAAGAAATCAACAAGAACAAGGGTCTGCTTCTAATTTTGGCAATTATTTTAATGATATTGGACACTCTAGCGCCGATCTACCAGATTATTGAGAGTTGCTTGTCCATCTCAGGAAATGTTCCATGTTTAGTTTGTATTTTATGTTTTATTTTAATGAAGTTTTATATTATGTGTGTCAGTTTTTATATGTTATGTATTTCAGATATGTAATTTATATTTGAATTATGTATTAGAATTGCTCTTTATATTTCATGGGACTTTACTTAATGTCTAGATTTTAATATTATAATTAATAATAATGTCTTTAAATTTTAGCATTATTTTTATTTTTAAAAAATAATTTATTTTGTCTAAATTATACAATTGGGGTAAAATTATAAAATTTAAATAATATTGGGGTTGTTTTATACATTTAATAAAACAATTGGGGTCAAATTGTAAATACATAAAAGTATGAGGTCAAAAATAAAAAAATTGAAAAAAAATAAAATGAACAGTAATGCGGTGATGAACAGTGCGACACCAAATATGGCGTCGCGCTGTTCATCCCCGCTAAAATGGCATCTAAAATGGTGTTTGGTTGGAGACGGTTCGTAGCGGCAAAATGGGGTTTTGCATCAAAATGGAGCACGGTTGGAGATGGTCTTAGTAATTACAAAACATTTTCATAAATGAGAAGGTGATAATTTCGGACTAGGCGGACAAACGAAATGAAGACAGAGCACGTGAAGAATGGGGGCAGGAGAAAGTATTCCGGTTTTCGCTCGATCATTGTTGCTTTCAGTTTAGTCCCACATCGACAAATTCGCCGAGACTTGACGAAGTGTTCGACTATAAATAAATGGGTCTGGGCTTCTGATCAAGGCACGCAGCTGCGTGGTGAGCACATAGCGAACTATTCTTTCGCCTTTTACTAAAGAATACCGTGTGCTCTCCACATTAAGCGGCATACGACACTTTTTGGAGGGTGTACTTTTTCAAAGAGGACCCCAACAAGTCAAAAATTAAACCGAGTCGTTTTGTATGTGAAGTCCATTTTGTGTGGTGTTACTAGGTATTGACTTGCGTTAGTATTTATGATGTAACATTATTTTGTCTTGTTTAATTTATTGTTATTTCTTGTTTAAATTAATGTGTTTTTGTCCTTTTAACACTCAATAAGGTAAGGGCGTGTGTATCTCATTGAATACACTATTTAGAGTGTGTAACAAATGAGACTTTTTCATATTAAAGTAGTGATGCCCTAGGCTTGTCCACCCGGGCCGGTCTGGAAAACCGGGCCCGATTACCCGTCCATTCGGGTCGGGCTGGAAAATCGTGCTCGGGTCGGGAAAAGTCAGAGCCTGGGCCCGGTTGCGTCTGGCAACCGTGCCTGGGCCTAAGTGGGCCGGGCTCTGGGCTGGCTCGTTTTTTTAACTTTTTTTTATTTTTTTAAAAATCTTTTTAAATTTTAAAAAATATATAAAAAATTACAGAAAATACTAATAAAAAATAATAATATTATTAATAACTTGAAATGACATAAATTATAAATAAAAAAAAAGATGATAAAAATAAATTCTTTATTTATCAGTAAATCCTTTATAAGTATAAATTTATTTTGGAATTATTCGCATCATAATAGATGAGTACATCTCAATTAGGTTGGCATCTATTCACCTATATCACTATCATTTGTAACTGTTTTCAAAATAATTCATTATAAATTTAAAGATAAGAAATAAAAATTATAATTTGATGAATATTGTTTAATTTTTATATCTATCTGTTAGTTCCAACTCTTCAAATTTATCTTCAACTCCAGCCATCCGATCGATGCCTTGCGTTCGCTTCTCGTACCTCCACCAATCTTGTAAACACATCACCGTTTGTACAGTATACAGATCTAAGCATATCCTATGATCGTCGATCAAACGTCCTGCTTTGCTGAAGGTGGATTTCGAAGCTACCGTCGAAACCTGTACTGTTAGTAAGTCACAAACCATGGTGAAAAGTATAGGATATGAAACTGATCCATATACTCTTCACCATTATAAAATACCTAAAATATTTCCTTAACATTTAACTAACGAAACAGATAAATATTCATCTATTTTAGAAACCTCTAATAATGATCCAAGTCCAGATCCACCAGTTAGCTCAGCTATCATTGCATACCTATCAAAACTTATACTTTTACCTCGGACTGAGCTCGAAGGCGTCGAAGCTGTAAATTGTTGTGCAACTACACCATGTCTAGCTGCATAATTATCGTATAAGGTTTGAAAATAAGTTCTAATAGCAAAATGATGAGAAGTAGCAGTAATGGTGGATCCATCATCTAAGTCTATAATCTGTCCATCATACAGTGATTATAACAAACTTCAAAGACCAATATCCTTCAAACATAGATCAATAAGAACACCCAAACCAATAATATGAGAAATATGTCTAAAATACTTATTAAATTTGCTCTCCATTTAAAAATTATAGCTCTAAAAGTATCATTCATACAATATTTGTTACTTTTTTTAATATTTAAAATTTGTAAAGCAGCTAAAGTAATAGTTGGATAATAATAGCCATATAATAACATTATAGTATCATAAAAAACTTGTAACATCTCATTTAAATTATATATAATTGTCCATTCATTTTCAGTTATTCCATAAGCGTTACCAGAGCTAGAACTAGAAGCATAATAATTTATAAAATTATTTATAATTTCTTTATATTCTATTGCCACACTTAACATTGCATATGTGGAATTCCACCCATGATCAACATCTTTTGGAATTAGTCTGAGCTTATAATTTTTTCTTTTACAAAATTGTTTTCATCTTTTAATTCTTTGTTCAGAAGCATTATGCATATTAGCAATTGTTCCGACCTTTTTTTATCATGGGTTTAATTTTAGTAAATGCACTTTGAACAATTAAATTTAAAATATGTCAGATATATCTAATATGAAAAAGATCACCA